TTGCCATGTCAATAAGAAGGAACATTTTGTCTTTGCGGTCTCTAATCACAATGTCTGGGCGATTAGCTTTTATTGTTCTGTCTGTGTATATTGTAACATCCCATAAAATTGTTACAGGGCATATCTCCGTAACTTTAGTTTGGGTGGCATTCATACTAATTTTTTGCAGGACTGATTATTATTATTATTATTATTATTATTATTATTATTATTATTGTATGTGATATCATCTTGTCAGAAAATAATTTCAAGTACGTAATTACCAAGCCTCCTCCGGGGTCACTGTAGAATAGTTATTTAAAGCACATTCAGGACGTTTCGTTTAGATGGAAGTTTTGCATATAATATGTACAGTTCCACTCGATGTAATTGTTTGTAGATTTGATATGCTAATGTGTACAAGAATTTTATTCACATGATATTCGATCCTCTTCTTTATCATACCCAATGCCCCTGTTACAACAGGGATAATCGTAGTCTTAATTTTCTACAGTTTTGTTACTTCGATTAGCAGGTCCTTATAATTTGTCAGTTTTTGAAATTCTTTCTAGAATCTTTGGAATCCTGTTGGCAAATTATTATTATTATTATTATTATTATTTGTATGTTTTGAGTTCGACGTTTCAATATGTTTCTACTTTTCATAATCTCTATATGATGTTCTTCCGAACTGTTCCACGTACTCCTGTAATGATGGGTAGAACTATAAACTTCCTGTTCTAAATATGCTTTTCTTTCGCACTTGTATGACTTTTTTCCACTAAGCACTTTTTGACACCACCGTCTAAAACGAACCCCAAAAAACTGCGCATTTTTCATAAATACAGCTATCTGTAGTACAATTTTTGTATTTCTTTAAGGCTATGACTGCAATGAATCGCTTCAATGAATCGCTTCAATGAATCGCTTCAATGAATCTATCGGAATCATTTCCAATAAAACCGAGGACTCCAACTACAACTGGAATTATTGGTGTAATCACGTGGCACATAGGAAAAAGAAAGAAGAAAAGAAATGCCTTAACAATACATCATAAAATAATGAACTAGATGTAAGATAGAAAAGATATATCAAAGACTCTGTTTGGTTTCAGTGAAAGAAAGAAAGAAGAATCATGCCAACATCTCATAAATAATAAAGTGTTTTGTTTTGATCGCGAGCAGTAACAAAAAAGACATATCGGAAATGCTGTTCGGTTTCAGTGAGAAAAACAAAGAAAGTGGAAGTGATCATACTCTCATGTGTTTAGCGACTGCTGTAATGAAATGGAAAAATTTATCAATTTCAAATTTTTTGATTTGTACCCTCTTACTTCTTTAGATAATGACATACATTCATAATTACGATTGTTGCAATATTTTGTTATTCAACGGGGCAATTTCCACGGGTATTTTATAATAGTAGAACTTACCATGAGTTTATTGAATTATTAACCTAAGAATTATGATTTATGAAAAACTTCAAATATCAAAACCCTGACATTTGCATGTGCACTACTAGTTGTTAATTGGAAAGTCGAATCTTTAAAATAACTCGACTTGATATAATACCGCTGATGCGAAAATTTATTAAAAGAACAAACAGCCTTTCCTGCAAGCATAAAACTAATTTTATACGAACTTTGAAAAATCAAGCTCTTATTTAAATCAAGACATTAGAGTCTTTTTCATTTGTTTATTATATTTTCATATTGGAATTCGTTTCTAATCACTGTTAGTTGCGGTTCAGAAATATCACAAACTGTCTAAGTTAAGATTGGCATTGGCGTGGAAAGTAGTTTTCAGTTCTCTGACATCAAAGATCTCGCAGCCGTTCAGTTTTCTCTCATATTCATCTCTTTATTGAAATTTCTTTTTATTTTCTTGTATTTTTCTCTATTTATTTTATGTTTTCTTTTGACACTCAATTTGAATCTCAGTTTTAGTCTGTTTTTCGTTTGTTGTTCATTATTTTCCTTTTCTCTATTGACATGTTCCCTTTAAGTTATGGCTTTAATTTTCTATTTTTCCTTTGCTTCTATTTTTCTTTTCTTGCGACCACCGAAGTTAAGCAACGTCGAATCTGGTCAGTGTCTAGATGGGTGACCGACTGGGAATACCAGGTGATTGTAAACTTTGAGGGTGGTGTAATAGATAATGGCTCGGAAATGTTAATCGGAGATCCAAGTTCCATTTCCTGTTGTGTTACTTATAGTAAATTAGGGCAAATACACGGTATGAATCTTCTTCTCCCCCTAGCTATAGGTTAATTAGTAAGGCTTGTATCACTAAACCATTAATATATATAAAAAAAAACTTTTACACTCTCAAAATATTTTCTGGTTTTAACTAACCTGCAAAGGGTTGATAAGCCCAAGAAAACGAATCCATTGATCAAATCTTTCTTTTCTTTTCCCTTTCATTTTTTTTTTTATCCCGTTATGTCTTTAATCACTTTCTTTCTCTCCCTGTTTTTTTTTTTAACTTTCTTTTTACTATTGATATATTCAATTTAAGTTACGTTTTACATTTATTTTTTCTTTCATTGTTTGTTATTTTGTTTCGTTCTTTGCATTTTCTCTGTTACTTTTCTTCTTTTTTTTTTTTTATTCAAGTATAATCCATGTCTTACCCTTATATATTTTTTCTTTTGTCCTCTTTAAAGTTTTTCCTCATTCCTCTATTATTCTCTCTCTCTCTCTCTCTTTTTTGCCTTCTTCTCACCAGCCGCTACTCCTCTTCCTTTTTCTATCCTCTCTCTATTTACTTGTTTCTCATATTTTCTCTTTCGTCTCGCGTGAAATTCTCGCCATATATTTTCTAAGCGGCTTCAGTTCATTTTCTCGCACTTCTCGCTTGTGGAACCATGTACAAGCTTCTTGCCTTCCTGTTGACTTTGATCTTCAAAATTTTAAATGCAATTTCAATCCATATTTTCTGTTTTTTTTTTTTTATACCGCTTTTTTTTATTATTATTATTGTTCGCTCACCTTAAAAATGTTTTCTTTTTCTCATATTCTCCTTGCGTCTCAGTGGTTTTATTGCGGTGGATGAAAAAAAAGATTTTAAATCATTTTTCTTACCTTCTCTAAAAATATTCTGATTTTCTTCCCAAATTAATTGACCCTTCCTTTTTAGTTCTAAGAAACCTTCACACAGACAAGATAAATATCAACAAGTGCGTAGCCTTAAGTTAAAAAAAATAATACAATAAATATTTCAGTTCAACTTTTTATTAATCACTGTCAGGTAACATTGCTTATTGATACGAACCTCGTACTCTAAGCTACCTTGTTTAGATTGATGATGAGCCAGCTAGTTTAATAAACCATTAGTTAATGTAGCAATTTCGATCTTCGTAGGCGCCATTGTAATATATAAAAAAAACTAAGCAAAGTAAAAATTAAAATACATTGCCTACAACAAACCAAAAGAGTTTATTCGCGTAGGCACATCTAATTGTGTAGTAAGTTCGATCTCCGTACACGCCTCATCGTAACGTCCTTGTAATATGAAACCTAAGTAACGTAATAAAAAAAATGTATTGCCTACAACGAATAAAGGGAGCTTATTCGCGTAAGTACAGATATTGTTTACAAATTTTACAATCACACGGAAGATATTACAAAATGGTAGTCGCTCTTGGCTGGGCCCATCGGAGAGAAAGTCTGATGTCATGGAGGCCCGAAACTTTCTATGACCCCGCCCACAATATATATCACTGAGGAAGCATTCTGGTGCGTAATATCTGCGCATAAAAGTATTTTTTTTTTCATTTTTTTTTTTCATTTTTTTTTTTTTATATTTCCGTTTGCTTCACTCTTTAATGTCGAAGAGTGGATGTTTGTTAGCAAAAAGATGAGCCCAAAACGCGAAATACAAATATTGAGAAATCGAAATCAAACTAGTACAAAAATTTAAATATCTAGGAAGTCCTTTAACAGAAGACGATAAGTGTGACACTGACATCCAAAGGCGTATTGGGATAGCCAAAGATGCATTCCAAAAGCTAAGAAGTGTACAAAGAAACGGGAAAACTTCACTAGAAAATGTTGACAAAAGAGCTACGTGATATCTGTTCTCCTGTATGCGTGTGAGCACTTGGAAAATCTCTTCAAAGATGAAGAAGAGACTTGAAATAGCAGAAACGTGTTTCTACAGAAGGATGCTGATAACTAGGACCGAGCAACGACGCAGTTTTTGAGAAAATGGAAACAAAAAGAAAACTTAACATCAGGGAGAGACAAGTTGAGGTTTCTGGTGCACATAATGAAGAAAGAGAGCTTGGAAAATCTGACACTCACAGAACAGGTTGAAGACAAGATGGCCCGGGGAAGACAACGCATAATATACGATGAGAAAATGGATAGTGGAAGAGGATTTATAAGAAATAACATAGAATTTATGAAGAGCAAGAAAGGAAGAGAAGTTGTGGAGAGCTATGATCGCCGACATTTTGAGGGGGAAACGGCACATAAAGAAGAAACTCCCTGTTCTATTAATTCTCTCTAATATTTTCCAACTTTTATTATCCTATAACTACTAAATCTCGCATTTTTTCTGCATCCGCTCCCCCCCAAGTCCACCATTTTCCGATACCTTTGCCATAGCGTCTCATAAATCCCCTCGCTACTCTCTTTTACACAATCTCTTCTTACATTTTAAAAATGCCACCGATAATCAGGAATCAGTCATGTTTGATGCTTTGTGGCTTGATTAAAACTATGCTTGCTTTTTCTCCTTTTTTTTTTTTTAAATTATTACCATAATTCTTCAAGTAGGAAAACAATATTTTCGTCTTTCAAGCATTGCTTCTCCCCCACCCTGATTTTATTTCTAAATGCTTTTCTCTTTTTTTTTCTTTTTCTTTTTCGCCATTTCTTTTTGGAGGGTAGTTTCAACTCATTACATATTTTTACGCATTTTTATTATGCATGGATTTATTCAATTTTTTCTGGTTTTTGGGCTGTATTTCTTTTAATAACTTTTTAAAAAAATCTGTTTTTGATTCAATAAAAATTGCTACATCAAGGGGATGAGTGCACTGATAAAGACGTCGCCCAGAACAGAGAGAGAGAGAGAGAGAGAGAGAGAGAGAGAGAGAGAGAGAGAGAGAGAGAGAGAGACTTTGCTAAAATATCTGTGCAATGAATATGGTGGGGCAGCAAGAAGCGAGAGGAAAGCTATGTAAGTGCCATGCCATTAAGTACAAAATTTTATTATAAACGAATATATATATATATATATATATATATATATATATATATATATATATATATATATATAGCTACTGAAAGAGTATATAATATGTCACACTATGCCGAAGTACCCTATGCCGAAATGATAGCGAGAAATTACAAATTACAGTTTATTTCGTCAGCCACGACTTACAGTCAACTGACAGTCGGTAGTGATATAGGAATTTATATCCCATCGGCTAAGCTAATATGTTACAATAAGGGTAACTGGTGAGCCCATAAGACACTCTCAATCGAAATCACCACAGGAACACAACCGGCTACCTGCTCCCTGCACGCTAGTTTTATATATATATATATATATATATATATATATATATATATATATATATATATATATATTAAGCATTGTGCCCCAAGCAAGGCGTGAAGCCACTAGGATGCGGGGGTTGCGGAAGATTTGGAGCGAGAGCAGATAAGAGTGATAGGAGAAAGGAAGAGGAGAATGATAGTGGGTAGATCAAGGTAATTGGAGATGTCGATTGACATTACATTTGAATAGTTGGAGATTATAGCTTTCAGGAAACAGTAATTGGGGAGGGTGTTCCACTGGCGAGAGGTGCGAGGTATGAAGCTATTGGAGTAGAAGAGACGGCTACATTTGAAGGTTTCTACGGTGTAAGGGTGAGAGCAGGATGCCAGCCTCGTAGGGCGCTGGAATTCATGGAGTCTGGGAACCAGAGAGAGCAGCTCATCAGAGCAGTTACCATGGAAGTATTTGTAGAAAAGACAGAGAGAGGCGACGGCGCGTCTGTGAGAGAGTGACTGCAAACAAGACGCTAGATCAGGGCCAATTAGATTACATATCCTTCTCTGGATCTTGTCAAGAACTCCGAGGTAAGCAGGTGCTCTAGCCCATATATGGCAGCAATATATATATATATATATATATAGAAGAAGAGCACCAGTCATAATATCTTCTATTTATTTCCACACTGACAACAGATAAAACAAGCACATAATGTGGTTGGGTAGAGCAAGTTTTCAGATAAAAGTCATATATTCCACACATGCACAAACATCAGCTATGCATTTTTTTAAACAAAAATGAATAACAATCTAGGGTCAGCACTCGTAAAAATATAAAAAAAGTAACTGCCTAAGCGAAAGCAACTCCCATTCCCATACTCACACCGCCTGTGTTCACATTCATTGTTTAGTTTCCTTAAAAGCTCATCAACATTCATGAAATTGTGGATGTAGTTGTTAGCAAATGGAGGAATTCTATGTCATAACTTAACATGTGTTTTCATATCAGACACCATTTTGCTAAACTGCGAATAAATGTAACTAGAAAAAAGCAATAAGGATTTATTCGGTAAAAGGTTCAGTATCATCGGACCCTCATATTACTCATCATATTCAATAATATCCGTAATAAAATCCGTGGCTTTACTTCCGGAGGGAATCTCGTATTATATACATGTATATATATATATATATATATATATATATATATATATATATATATATATATATATATATATATATATATATATATATCACTCAACGTCAGCACCAAAAATACTTTTCTAATGTGTGACATTCTTTACATCGTCGTTGTTGAACTTATTTCTATGTATGAACAATGTATAGGATATATATATATCTGCATAATACCTAACGCCAACATTACGACTCGGAATTTCAGGCACTATGCTATCATAAGGTACTAATAACTGACCATAATCTGGTCAATATTTCGAGATCTCGCAGTTTCGTGGTGTTAGTTGGATAACTTTTTACTGTTGTTAAATATTTAATTGCACTATAATCTCAATTTGAATTTTAATTAGGTTCAATCTTACACTTAAAACTGAAAACTAAAAATTCTAATTTCAGTTTAAAAAATGACGTCTACGAATGATGTTGGTAAACAGACTTTAAAAGCCCAGTGGTATAACTCGCTATATAGGATAAAAAGTATAGTTTTAATGATACGCTATATTCAGGGGTAAAAAATGCTCGATAAGAAAGAGATTGAAGGCCGAGAAATAAACTTGTCGCCCACAAGGCCGCCTAAACTTTTTCGAACTGCTTCGAGCCAATTTTCTACATTTGGCTTCTATAGAATTAGGGTTAGAGTTTGTCTAAAATATGTAATTGTATAACTGAAAAGTGTCAGGTCGTGTTGAAACAATATTCAAATTTTTGAATCCGCATGCGAGAAAAATCAGAATTCGAAATCTTGCTTTCTTTATCGCGGATCGAACACTGACCGATAGAAAGGTGACTCTTATTTTTGCCCCTATGCGTCTGTGTTTTTCTGTGCACTCATGTGTTGTTCATGAGCACCTTGCATGAAGTGAGGACGGAAAAATGGTGCGTACCTGGGAATTTTCAAAGAATGGGAAGAGAGAAAAAAAAACAAAAACAAAAAAACATGTAAAATAAAAGAATGTGGCGCGTTGGTGTTGATCGGAACGTGGTAGGGGGTGTGAAGATGGGGATTTTCTGGGATTTGAGTGCGCGATTGTTAGAGGAAAGAAAAAGAATGTTAGACGAAAACGAATAGAGAGAGATGAAAGAATGTCGTTTTATAATGAGAAAATCGGTCAGTACGAACGGACGGACGGACGGATGAAAGAATGAAAGGGAACGCAGAGAGAAAGAAAAATATAAACAAAGTGTTTAAATTCAATCTTTTTTTTTCATCATTTCGCCCCAAGCAAAGCAATAAAAACAATGAGTCACAGTGTGAAAGAATATAAAAAAAAATCATTATTACGGAGCAAGAACAATAAAGAACAGATATGAATTAGACCGATGATAGCGATTGATATTGAATTTAAATTTTTGAAGATCAATTTCCGGCTTCTTTCCAGAGAAAGCAAGAAACCGGAAGAGAGTTCCGCAAGCGAGAAGTGCGAGAAAAGAAACTGTTAGCATAGAACTTACGGTTACGGAAATTATTTTAGCCATTTTAACAGTAAAATAATGAGACCTTGGCGCCAATCTAGTACTGCGTTTAAATTCATAGAGTACTATGGAGGGAAGTCCATTAGAACAATTACCATGATAGTATTTATAGAAAAAGCACAGAGAAGCTACGTTACGACGGTGGGAAAGTGAACGAAGCCGAGATATCAGGTCAGAACAAATTTAAATTGCAGAGGAAAATGAAATAAAAATGAAAATTGAGAATACCATGGACGAAGTATGTGAGTACCGAAGAAGTTTTAAGAAAAAAAAAAAACAAACAAAAGAAATTTTATACAGTGTAACCTGGATATAAGAGAAACCCGGATATAAGAGAATTCTTCTCCGGTCCCGACAACTGTACTTAGGATTAGAAAAATTTGATAGTACTAGGACACAAAATGAGGAAAGAGGATTTGATCTTTTTTATTTTCGCACACATATGACATATTGAAGGTAAAACGGACAGAGGAAAACAACGAATACAGTACCTAACGATCTGGGGTAACTCTTTGGTAGAACAGGTACGATATATATATATATATATATATATATATATATATATATATATATATATATATATATATATATATATATATATAAAACATATATCGTTAAGAGCTAGAATTAATAGGAAGTTATAGAGAGGTATTATTGCTGCCCATTTCCTGAAGGGATATGTTTCATAGAAGAACACCTAACAGGTTTGCTTCAGAACTGATTTAACTGCGTGTTTCTCAATAGCACAGCTGAGCTAAAAGCAAAGAATGCCGATTTTCAAAGTCGGGTCTTCCCAATTCGTAAATGGCATGTCAAAAGATTTGGCGAAGTAATGTTACAGCAAAACCTTTTAACATTTATTTCACACATTTAGACTTGTGTTCAACTAAACCCAAACTGCAAACGATCATGAAAGTAGGAAAAAGACAGCAACATAATGGTTTAGTTCTTAAAGCAACGAACTATATTCTAGCCAAAGTGGTTGCAAATCATCATCATCAATGCAGAGTGGATCAAATGAGAACAAGAAAGAATGCAAGAATGGTAAAATATAACCATGAATAATATTAGGCAACCTCTAACAAAATCTCCAAAATAGAAATCCCCAGAAAATGACAAACTACCCAACATTTGGCTCTATCATCTGTCATCAGTCCATAAAACTCTTGCGCAAAGTTTATCAATACTAATTAATAACCCCAATGCCATTCCAGAACGGATCACTGAAGGTATTACATGTCTTTTACCAAAAACGTGTGAAACAGATGATCCAAAGAATTATAGGCCAATAACATGTCAGTCCACATATAAATTGATCACGTCCATCCTGACGAACTGTACTTACTCATTTCTCGATGAAAACAACATTCTTCAACTGGAACAGAAAGAAACGTTGAAGAGGTTCATGTGGTTGCAAAGGTCAACAATTAATAAATAAAATGATCCTGGAAAAGTGCAAGAAAAAATTAAAAACCTCTGCATTGGATAGATTACCGTAAAGCCTTTAATAGTGTGTCACCCTCTTGGATCTTTAAGGCTCCTTGGTGATAGTAATTTTCCTTAAATATTGCATAGAACTGTGGATAACTACAAGTCTAAATCACACCAAAGGTACTGCTACTTGATATTGTTTAAATACCCAACGAGTAATCTTTCAAAGAGACACCCTATCGCCTCTTCTGTCTGCCCTTATTCCTCCTTTTGCATGAACTAAACATTATTAACTATACGTTATGGAATGCTTTTTTTTTCTCTTGCATTTATACTCTGAGTATTAAATTTCACAAGCCGTCTTTCCTCTTTATATTCCCTAGAAATTTCAAGTCTTTCTGATATTAAGTATTTTCTTTTCGTTTTCTCTAAAACTTTGAGGTAGCTCACTTGTTTGATCCATGGAATTATCATCATTCTTCTGTAGAAGCACATTTCTGTTGCTTCAAGTTACATCTTCATCTATGAGGAGATTGTCCAGCATTAAACTTCCATATAGGAGAGCTGATATTGCATAACAATTTAGTACTCTTTTCTTTGTTTCTAACGAAATTTTCCTGTTCCTTAATACTTTACTTAGCTTTTTACAAGGCATCTTTCACTATCCCAACGCACCTTCGAATTTCAATATCGCACATTCCGTTCTCTGTTAGAACACTTCCCGGATATTTAAACTATTGTACTTAGTTGATGTTTAGTATCTCTAGTCTGTAATTTGCATGTTGTTTTTTTTTGGGGGGGGGTCTTTTTTTGCTGACAACTATGCATTCTATATTTTGGTCTCTGCTATCAACACTGTTTCAACTGCATATCTTATGTTATTAAGATTGTGACTACCAGTAACAAAACCTGGTAGGACTTCTAATTTTCACAGAACTGTATTGGTTAAATAAGTCAAATGAGACGGCATATCCTTTTCTTACATCCTTATCTAAAAAAGAAATAAACATTCGGAAGAAGTAATATGTTTAACGGCTGAGATAAAGAATTTGTAAGCCACGTGCTTAAAAAGAAGGGTTTTGCTTAAGGAAGTTAATCTCAAGTAATGGAGATTTAAAGAGAAAAATAAAAAGAGGAGATAGAAAAGAAGTTAGAAAGAGTCAAACCCAAGAAGGAAGTGAAAAAGCAGGAGAAACTGGCATTGTGGGTAATAAACGAATTGGAGTCGCTAGAATGAAGAAATAGTGAGATAAATAGAAAGACAATGGATCATACGAGAAGGAAGCGATGAAAATAAAGAATGATTAGATGTAAAAAGAGTGAACTATCAAGAAAAAGTTCGATTAGTTAAACGAATTTTCCGAGACCGTACGGCCACATCACGTAGAAACACCGACTTCCGTACGATCACAGAAGTTAAGCAATGTTAAGCCTGGTCAGTACCTAGATGGGCGACTGCTTGGGAATACCAGGTGTTGTAAGCGATGTTCGAGTGGTGTAATGTATAATGGCTCGGAATTGTTAATCGGAGAGCCGAATTCCAGTGGAGTTCGCTATAATCATTTAGCCGTAGGATATTTATGAATGCACCTCTTCTACCTCCAGCTATGGGTTAATTAGTAAAACTTGTATTAGAACACCATCGTTATCTCCAAAAAATAAAGTAGCGGACAAAATATTTAAATTTCTGTTTTAAATAACTCATAGAAATTGATAAGCCGCTAAACAAAAACATCAAACCAACCAATTTTCCAACTTCATGAAGGTCTTTTAGGATCAAAGTCTGACTTGTATGAAGGTCTTTTGTTAATTCCTATAAAAGACTACAAGTCGAAGAGATCCTATATTAAAATTCGTTTACGAGAGGTTATTAGTGAATAGTTTTACTTGATATTTGACACGTAAAGACTAGCAAGTAAGCATTGGTAATGACCAACTTGGTACATGTGTTGAATATAATATGCTTCAATTACTTGTATTAAGAAGAGACTTAAATATAAGTTTTCACTGACATTGTATCAGAAAAATCATATAAGCAGTATTGAATTAGTTGCGCTATGAATCCAGTGAATGAAAACAAAATTGAAAAATAAACTTCACAAAACTCTTGGTTAAGTCATAGTAATGTTTGTGTACAAGCAAGTTGACCTAAGATTAAAGAAAGAACAAGCGTAAGTTATTACAGAAATAGGTAAAATGATGTGTAGGTTGCGTTTTTTTCTGTCTGTTTTCTCTGTAGCAGAACGGTTTTATTATCACAAAAAAAAAAATCAGGTAGGAAAACAACGAACGGAGAAAGATTGTAGAGGAGAATTATTGAAAATATAAGTTGGGAACTTGATTGATTTTTAGTTCTTACCGAAGCTGGCCACCAGAAAGAAAGAAAGAAAGAAATTTTGTTTTGTTTGTTTAATGACATATCAACTCTTTATGGATCATTTAGTGTCGAAATTTAATTTTCTTGGTAGCATTAGTATTTTTTTTTATAAAAATGTATTTCTGGTTATATTGTTTTTACAAAAACGTATTGCTGGTAATTCTTTTACTATGAAAATGTATTGCTGATACCTTCACTATAAAAATGTATTTCTATTTTGACCGCAGTTTTGGGGTGAACTATTTGCCCATGGTTGGGACCCAAATAAGTTCTATCAGCTCAGATCAGAGTGAACCTGGAAGCACCAGCAATAAAGGGGTGGTTCCACGCTTCTCAAAAACCTCCCGATCAGAGGCCTTGCTGTTGGATGTAATTTATTACCCAGGACGAAAAGAAAGAAAGAAAGAAAGAAAGAATATTGTTAGATTGTTGCTTATCTGCCACTGATGTCAGAACTTCAGGAATTCGAGCCCAGTTAAAATTGAGGATTTTAATGCTGATTTTCAAGGCAGGCATGTCTCTCAACTTGGTAGATTAGTGCAACACGACCGATTCTCTTCTGTTCGTTTCTATGCCAGAATACACTAAAGTCAGTAAATATGACGAAGAACAAACAAAAAAAATCCCAAGAAGTAAGATTGAAAAATATGTAAACTTTTAAAAATCACTGAAAAGAAAAATACACAATGAAAAAAATGGGAAAAGAGGAGGAAAAGAAATGGTTTAAAAGACAGAAAGGGAGAATGAGAGAGTGGGAGAAAAAAGAGGATTTAAAAAATAACACGAAAATAATAAAACCGATTCTCTTTAATAGATAAAAGATTCCTTGCAGGAAATTCTTTGGCAATCAGTTCCATTTTTAATGGACGTACCATCATTGTAAATGCTGATTTCCGAGGTTGTAAGCATTCCTTAATTGGAGGACTGGCGCAGAATAATCTTCCCACATTTTCATTTGGCCTACTGACATACTGAGCTTTTTAAGCTGAAGTCTTTGCGTAATTGAATACGAAGCATGTTTTCCCCAATTGAATGACTGAGACACTAAAATATACCTGGTCTCATTTTCACCAGATTTAGAATTTGCTGTACTAAGTTTAGGAAAAATATACAAAAGAAAATACAAAATAAATAGAGAATAAAAGCGTCTAGGATATATAATTGCCCTTTCTTTGTCTGTCAGTAATTCTTGAATTGCTGACAGCTGGCAATTCCATTCTTCGTAATGTTTTCTGCAAAACATTCACTTTCAGTGCCAAACTCTCCTAAAAACAATTTGAAAAATTCGGTTGTTAAATCAGCAAAACTCACTTTCAAGCACCAAACATTCCTATCATAATTTTCATTCATTATTCTACAAACGTCTTTTGAACCTCTTACCTCGAGACCGACACTCACCAAGGGTCGGCCATAAATTCTTGGAGGTGCTCAAAAATATACCTTTTATCCTATAAATAATACACCGTCGAAGATAATAGTTTATAGAGTTTTTTTTTTGAACGGGAAGGAATTATCAAATTAATAAATTTTTAATTACCTTATATACTCGTGTATAAGTCGGCTTCATGTATAGTACGACTCCTGATGTTTTTGCGTGAATTTTAAAGATTCCATAATGATTTACTTGTGTATAGGGCAACCTGTCACCGAAAATGCATAATTTTTAATCTCGTGAAAAATGGCCTGTGTACGCCCCCTATTTTTGCGTAGAAAAATCGCCCTATACTCGAGTATATACGGTAATGTAAATATCTACAACCAAAAATATTGGCATCGACATTAGTCTCATACGTTTGGTCGATAAAAAGTTCTCGGATTAACAAAAATCTTTAAATAAAAAATAAAAAAAAAAAAAAATGTATCAGGCTGACGTTGTCTCAGCAGACACGTATATAATTTCCTATTTACGATATTATTGCATAAGTAATCATTTAGTTAATTATTTAAGTAATTATTATTGTATAAGTAATTATTTAAGTGAATGGAAGTTTTTCATTTATTTGAATCAGACGCTTCTCTATCATTTTTTCTTTGTTTTTTCCCTTTTGATTTCAATTCATCAAAATCGATGTCAATTTTTAAATTTGCAAAGACGCATTAACCAATTGGCTAAAGCTTTAAACTTTGATGAGAAAAGAGTTTTTCCTATTTTGTATCTAGGACGTCGTTACTTGTCTTTCCAAGAGATCACGATTCCACAATTTACAAAAGCCACTTCTATGAAGAAAACAAAGAATGCTGTAAAGGGAGATAAGTCAATGATTTTGAATAAAAATAAACGAAAAGAAAAATAACAGTAAAACAATCATGAAAAATGTATCTTTTTTACGGAGGGAGGACATTTGTCCAGGATTGTGTGAAATAACAAAGAGAATCATCAATATCAAATTTGTCTTGACATGAGGCTGTGCTTCAAATCAGTGGGATTTCTCAGTCATTCATGCCAATCTGCTTAAGTTCATTTGAGTATACACCGCCGGTTGACTCTCTTACTTGTGGTGTAACTATGCTGAGCGAACCTTAGTTACAGTTCAAGTAGTTCTAAGTAAGGCCATATACGGCTTTGAATTCAGAGTTGTTCTTCTCCTATATTGGTTTCAAACTACGGCGTGAGAGCCCACTCTGATCGGCTATTTAACCTTTTAAAAGAGAATTTGTATTAGTGCAAAAGAGCATACGACTGATCACTGATTTCTTATTCGGAACCTCTAGCAATTTCACCGCCTGCGCATCCAGAGACGAAAAGCAACCTGCAAATAAGAAGGTGAGTAAAGGGCGGGAAAAAGTAGTAGAAAAGAAAAAAAATGCAATAATTTAAAAAGGAAATGATAGAGGAAGATTAAATAAGAAGAAAGAAAAAGGAGTGTTAAAGAAAAGGAAAGAGAAAGAAAGAAAGAAGAAAAAATAAATTAAAGAAGGAAATATAAAAACAAGGAAAGAAAAAGAAGTAAAAAGAAAGATTGTAAAAAAATAAATAGAAGGAAGAAAAAAAATAAATAAAAATCGCCCTATAAACCGAATATATACGAGTTACGATGGGTATGATTGAGAATCAGATCGAAGAAAGAAAGAAAGAAAGAAAAAAAATGGAGGAAGGAAATATAAGAAAAAGAAAGACAAGGGAAGTGTGTAAAAAAAGAAGCAGAGAAAAGAAAAGAAAAAAACCTGTAAGTGATAGGGTTGAAGAAAGAAAGAAAGAAAAAGAAAGAAAGAAAATATAAATTATCACTGTAAGAAAAAGAAGTAAAACATGTACAGAAAAGAAACAAATATGTAAATTATAGAGTGAAAACAAGTAAAAAGAAAGTGGAGGACGAGGAGAAGAAATGATGTGTGAGGATTAAGGATATGAAAGAACTAGAAAGAAAGAATAGTACAAGAAAAGAAGAGAAAAGAAAATGTGAAAATAAAGTAGAAAGAAAAGACAAAAAACCAGGTGAGTGGATGTGAAAGCAGTGGATTGAGAGGAGAAATAAAGTGAGGCATAGCGTGGGTAAAGTCGGAGAGGGGAGCAGGGTGGAATGAAGAGCATTGAGTATAAGGAGACAGGGAAAGCGATTTGCGAAAGTGGGAGTTGAAATGGCCTGTCCCACTGACCTGAATTATTAATCGATTTTTTTTCCTGGCTCACTTATTACGTGGCAAGTATGCGACAACAGTCGTACCCCTGCCTCAGTGCTTCACTTGGATTGAGTATAAAATACGAACAAGGGTTTTCTTGGGAACGGATTTCGGATAGACGAGACGAACACGGACGCATTTTTGTGGCTTTCCTTCGTGCGCAACATGGAATTTTTGTCATCTAAGCGTGCATTAAAAAAGAGTGATTTACACGCACGCTTCCTAAGTGTCTACAAGTTAGAAAAAAATGAGTGGGGATTAAATGTATCTGCGATTGCGTATACTATTGCATGCGAATGTGCACATTCTCGTTAAAATGTGCAGTTGGGAGTTTACATAAGTACTCATGATGACTGCTAGTTTAGGTCAACTGCTTACTTGCGTTGGCGTTCGTGATTTACGCGGAGCATTGGTTCACTCTATGGCGTATAGATATTTATTAAAGTTAGAATAGTTTACAAGGCAACAAAGAGATATAAAATAAGATCAAACTGGTGTAACACGCCATTTTTTACTCACTTCCCAAACATTTCTTACGCACGAGTATTTTCTTCATTAGTCATATGTATAAAATGAAGTCATACAGTTCGAGTAGTCTGGTCTGGCGTTCTTGTGGTATATCGTTTTCCTTAAAATTCCGTTGCCCACATGCCCCAGCCATCGAATTTTAGCATTTTTCTGGAGAAACACATCTCTGTTGCTTCAACTCACCTCTTCATATGTGCGGACATTGTTCAGGATTCACTGCCATACTGATATTATATAGCAGTTCAACATTCTTGTTCTTTGTGTCTTACGTTTAGTTTCCATACTTTTAATTTTATTTTTTAATCCTCTTCGCAATATTTTTTTTATTCTATATGTTTTCTTTTTTCACATTCAGGCATCTTCACCATTTTCTTCTTTATTTTTCTTCTTTTAATCTCTTTCATTCTCTCTCTCTCTCTATATATATTTCTATCTTATCTCTTTCATCTTTTTCTTTTGATTTTCAATAGTCCAATCTTGCTATTAATCACTATGTCAGTTTTTTTGTTTTATTTACTAAGTTCTGCTTTTTCTGACACAAGGCCACGTACAAGGTGTCTATAACAAATCATGTTCCTTTGAGTTCATCTATGTAGTGCTTTGATTCGAATTTGCTTAGTGGGTTTGATCAAAAGAGAAGTGGTGACTTTTCTTTCAATCTTCTTAACACATGCACATTTATAAATGTACTATTCGTCCGTGCACTGGTCTGGTACTCCTGTTGTAGATCTCGATATTCTCCACAAAATGTAAACAAAGGTCTGTCATGTAATCAGTCTTGACCTGGCATCTCGACATCAGTCACTTTCTCACTGACGTGACGTTGTTTCTCTCTGTCTTTTCTACAAATATTTTCATAGCAACTGTTGTGATGAGATTGTATCCCTATTGTATCGACTCCATGAAAATTAAACGTGTTTCTAAATTGGCAAAAAAGGTCCGACCGCTTTACTGTTTAAGTTGCTCAAATGAAACTGCCACTTCTATTCTAACATTTTCTTTTCTCACCTGTGGAACACGCTTCCTATTTCTTTCTTCCCTGTTACGTACAATCTTCAAAAAATGAAATGCAACGCCAATCACCATCTTCTGTCCACCTGAACCCTGGTCCTTTATTGTCTATTCCTCCCTTCTCCTCACTTAATGTCTTCTCATTCTCTTTCACTCCTTGTAACCCTCTGCGTCTTAGTGACATTATCGCCTTGCTTGGGGTGAAGTGATTAAAAAATATTATTGTCATGATTCGTCGCTATCAGATTCACTCGAATCTATCTACTATTCGAATTGAATTGAATATTGCTGTCACATATGATCTTGTTAGAGATTCTTGATAAAAATACAGAGAAGAATTTTCAATTTTGTTGCCCCTGACCTTGCGTCTCGGTTTAAGCCACTTTTCCAACGTCGTAACATAGATTCCTTGTGCGTTTTTTATAAATATTTTCATGGTAATTGTTCTGATGAACTTTCCTCTTTGGTTTCTAGATTTTACAAATTTAAGCGCAGTACTCTATTGGCAGTTAGGTCTCATCATTTTACAGCTTAAATGACTAAATTTAACTATAAATTCTATGATATTTTTCCGGTTACTTACTGTCAAGTCAACATTTATCTTTAAAATTTTAAATGCAATGACAATCGTTATCTTCTGTCTTCTTAATTCTTGTTCTTTTATTGTATTCTCTTCTTAATATGTTTTTTTTTCGCATATTCTCTCACACACAGTAACATCTTAGTGGCTTTATTGCTTTGCTTGGGATGAGATGATTAAAAACTAAGATCGCCAGTGGACCAAATTCGATATTTCTAATATTTCGACTGTTGTTCTCACTGGTCTTCTTCCTGTGTCTGTCGATCCGGGTAACTTTCTGCTCTCCTGGAACGGACGTTTTAATTGATTTATTTGTAGGTCTCTACATCTATATAGAAATTTCAGGTGTTTTGTTATGCGTACCTATTTTCGATGGTTCTTTGCCGATCACCATCGTTGCGGTATTACATCGGGTCCCTACCGATGTGATAATTTCTGGAATGAGGATTTATTATTATTTTTATTATTTACAATCGAACTAATGTCCTCATTATTTTGTTACCCTCTGTCCTCCCCTAGTACTGACTTATGTATTGATAGAAAAACCTTGTTGTAATAACCATAGGTCCCTATATCTACAGAGACATATCAAGTGTTTAACAACTGTGCCAATCTTTGACAGATTTTGGCCTATAGTCTCTACTTTATAACAAAGGGTCAGTGCCGATTCGATAATTTCTGTTTGAATTTCTAGGACGAGGATTTATCATTATTTACATTTGGTCTAATATTTTCATCTCTGTGGTTAGAATCACCTCAGCTGATGTTTCCTCAGGAGTTACTGAGAGAAAGAAAGATGTAGGAGAGACAAAGAGGACAATAAAAATAAACTTGCATTTATATTTTTGAAGATATTAATTTTTTATAGACTTCACCCGATGCAAGGCTGTAAAGCCCCTGAGACGCAAAGGGTTACTGGGTGTGGATGAATTAGAAACAGAAATATTGCCAGCCAGCGAGAACAAGAGAAAAGTAATCATGAGATAGCGATAGACATTTCATTAAAATTTTTGCAGAGTAAAGTTGGCTGGAAAGCTTGGAGTCCGAAGGGAGTTCCACAAGTGATAAGTGCGAGAAAAGTAACTGTCAGCATAGAATTTACGGTTACATCTAGCCAAATCAACCGTAAGTTGGTGAGACCTCATTTCCAGTCTAGTCTTTTTTACGTGCCGTGTCTCTTAAGAGCGTATTAACTATATCACGTGTTGCTTTCATCTGTCACTCGTTCTCTATATACTTCCTGTGAGTATAAGATTTTCCAAGCCTTCCTTCCTCATTACGTGTCCCAGAAATTTCAGCTGCCTCTTCCTGAGGTTAAGTATAAGTTTTCTCTTTGTTTTCATTCTCTTCAAAACCTCGTCATTGCTCACATGTTCGGTCCATGACATCCTTAGCATCCTTCTGTTGCCTTGAGTCTCTTCTTCATCTTTGAGGAGAATGTCCAGCATTCGCTGTCATACAGGAGGACAGATATCACGTAAGAGTTCAGTAGTCTTTTCTTTGTTTCCAACGAAACTTACCTGTCTCGTAATATTCTGCTTAACTTTTGGAATGCGTCTTTGGTCATCGCAATACTACTTCGAATCTCAGACAATGCTTAATTTCAAAGAGTCTAAGCACCATAGCAAAGAGGTCATCCGAACAATTGCCATGAAAGTATTTATAGAAAGGCAGGCACGGGAGGCAACCTTACGGCGGTGAGAAAGTGACTGAAGCCGAGACGCCATGTCAGGACCAATAGATGGCCTAGTAGGCAGGTTTATTTGGATACGAGCGACCAGGCATTGGACAATTACAAACTATATAACCTCATATCGACGGAAATCTGAAGAAGATCAGCAGTTACAACAGCCGAAACATTGTAATAGTAATAAGATGAGGTTATCAGCCCGACTGTAAATAATGTAAATAATTATAATGATTTATTCTAGAAATACACACACACAGAGACAGACATATATATATATATATATATATATATATATATATATATATATATATATATGCTAGAGGGTGCTGATGTCAAATATTTGTTCGTGCCAATCAATCCTGATTTCTAAAGAAAACGAGCGGTATTGATGTTTCATCACCAAATGATGCAAAAATCGACCCAAGAATAGTAGCTTATTAGTTTTAACCCGTGAAAATTTCATGATTTTCCTATTTTAAAATTCTGATGAATTCTTCATTGTTAAGTTACTGATTGAATAAGTTCATGGCGACTTCTACGACAATAAAATATCCATCGGAAATCCCTTATTGCTTCGTTAAGTATTTGAGCTTGACTTAACAAAATATTGCAATAACAATCATAAATATGAAGGCTGGTTCTTTATTTTAAAAAGTGGGTACAATGAAAAGATCTGAAACTGAAAAGTTCTTTATTTCACTGAAACAGACGTTAAACACTTCTATCTTCCCGCCTTTCTTTCTTTCTTGCATTCCTCACTGAAACTACTGTCTTTTCCCCTCTTTCTTGCGCGATCAAAACGAAATAGTCTCTTATTTATAAGATATTGGCAGAAGATATTAAACACTTCTATCTCCTTTTCTTTCTTTCATTTTCTCACTTAAACCAAGTAATGTCTTTTTCTCTTTTTCCATGCGATCAAAACGGAATAGTTCATTATTTATTTGGTACTGTCAGGGCATAACGGTAGCGCGAACTAAAGAAGTGGGTGGGGACAAGAACAATTGTAATAGGATTATTGATTCAATTATAAGAACTTCCACGTACGTTAAGCTGTAGCAATGCGTTCAAATTCTCATTTCCGCTGAATTAGGAGGTACCGTCTGTCTGTCGGGTCTCCTGTGGTGAGACTTCCGTAAAATATGAATACATGTAAGAAATCATATCGAATATTATTTAACAGTGAGGGGACAGAAGACTTGGAACAGAGAAAGGTGAGAATGAATGTATCTATATATATCATTATCCGTCCTATGACCGTAGTATCGCAGCGCCGCTGAGCACCTGTCCAATTCTATCCATCAGGGTTGAAAACCGAGTATCTATTTAT